CGGCATCGGCAGGTGGACTCTCAACCACTGCGCCACCAGGGAAGCCCTCCCCCTGGCTGTTGCTTATACTTCAACACCGGACACACTGCATCTGAGGATAGGGGCCGTGGAGGGAGAAAGAAGAGCTCCCACGCTGATTTCATCACTTACTGGCTGTGTGACCTCAGGCAAATGACTTCAGCCCTCTGTGCTCAGTTTTCTCATCTGTGAAAATGATGATGATAATAGGACCCACCTTACAAAGTTCTTATGAGGATTAAATTACATATTAAAGTGCCTGGCTCATAACTGTTCCTCCATAAAGACTGTCTGTTACTACAGTATTCTAGCTAGAGGTATGACGGTTAATACGGTCATTATCGAGTCTTCGTTTTCCCTGTCCTTTCAGCAGTATCTTCCCCTGATCACCTCCTCTCCCGACAAACGTTTGCTCCCCTTAGCTTTCAGCTGGTTCTTCCCTGTGACCGTGGCAGGTTTTGTTCTGCCTTCTCTTGTAGGCCTCTCCTCTGCACAGCCTAAGTTAAAGTTAGGTGTTGGAATCCCACAAGGCAGTGTTCTAGGCCCCCCTCTTTCCGTACTCGCTGAGTGATCTCATCCGCACCCACGGTGGCTACTGCACCTTGACACCTATGACGCGCAAACGTCTCCCTCCATCCTAGACCTCTCATCCAATCTGTGTGGACCCATCTGGCCAGCTGTGTTTCTGACATCTCCCTCCGATGCCTCAAAGGCACTCAAACCCAACATGTTCAAAACTGCTTCATAATCCTCCCCCAGCAAACTGGTCCTCGCCCAGGGTGCCTGTCTCAGGGCAGGGCTTAACCAACCAGCCAAGTGTATAAATCAGAAACCTGAAAGTCATTCTCAATACCTCTCTCCTCTCCTTTATCCCTCATATCCAGCACCAAGCCCTACTGCTTTTACCTTTTGTACCTCTGCACCTACTACCTCTGTACCTGTTACATTTGCCTTTCTGTTGTCACCACCATCATGGCCACCATTCTCGCCCAAGCAGTTATCATCTCTCGTCTAGATTCTTACAGGTGCCTCTTACTGACGCTCCCTACGTTGATTCCAGCTCCCCCCGCCCTGCCCCACCAAACGCTCATCACACTATGGACAGAGTTACCCTGCTAAAATGAAAATCTGATTACAATGCATTCCCCCCCCCCCC